GATTTAAAAGTGGAATACCTCTCTGAATTTGTTATTAAAATATCTATCTAGCTGCATTATTGGTTTATTTTCGAATTTTTGGTCAATATTTTGTAATTTTTTATGACCCCCGACCTGTCAAAATTTGCAAAAAATGGGTTTGCAGAAAAGTGACCAGATCCCAGCACTGCTTAGCCCATAACTTTTGAAATTTTTACCCGATTTAAAAGTGGAATACCTCTCTGAATTTGTTATTAAAATATCTATCTAGCTGCATTATTGGTTTATTTTCGAATTTTTGGTCAATATTTTGTAGTTTTTTATGACCCCCGACCTGTCAAAATTTGCAAAAAATGGGTTTGCAGAAAAGTGACCAGATCCCAGCACTGCTTAGCCCAAACTTTTGAAATTTTTACCCGATTTAAAAGTGGAATACCTCTCTGAATTTGTTATTAAAATATCTATCTAGCTGCATTATTGGTTTATTTTCGAATTTTTGGTCAATATTTTGTAATTTTTTATGACCCCCGACCTGTCAAAATTTGCAAAAAATGGGTTTGCAGAAAAGTGACCAGATCCCAGCACTGCTTAGCCCATAACTTTTGAAATTTTTACCCGATTTAAAAGTGGAATACCTCTCTGAATTTGTTATTAAAATATCTATCTAGCTGCATTATTGGTTTATTTTCGAATTTTTGGTCAATATTTTGTAGTTTTTTATGACCCCCGACCTGTCAAAATTTGCAAAAAATGGGTTTGCAGAAAAGTGACCAGATCCCAGCACTGCTTAGCCCAAACTTTTGAAATTTTTACCCGATTTAAAAGTGGAATACCTCTCTGAATTTGTTGTTAAAATATCTATCTAGCTGCATTATTGGTTTATTTTCGAATTTTTGGTCAATATTTTGTAATTTTTTATGACCCCCGACCTGTCAAAATTTGCAAAAAATGGGTTTGCAGAAAAGTGACCAGATCCCAGCACTGCTTAGCCCAAACTTTTGAAATTTTTACCCGATTTAAAAGTGGAATACCTCTCTGAATTTGTTATTAAAATATCTATCTAGCTGCATTATTGGTTTATTTTCGAATTTTTGGTCAATATTTTGTAATTTTTTATGACCCCCGACCTGTCAAAATTTGCAAAAAATGGGTTTGCAGAAAAGTGACCAGATCCCAGCACTGCTTAGCCCAAACTTTTGAAATTTTTACCCGATTTAAAAGTGGAATACCTCTCTGAATTTGTTGTTAAAATATCTATCTAGCTGCATTATTGGTTTATTTTCGAATTTTTGGTCAATATTTTGTAATTTTTTATGACCCCCGACCTGTCAAAATTTGCAAAAAATGGGTTTGCAGAAAAGTGACCAGATCCCAGCACTGCTTAGCCCAAACTTTTGAAATTTTTACCCGATTTAAAAGTGGAATACCTCTCTGAATTTGTTATTAAAATATCTATCTAGCTGCATTATTGGTTTATTTTCGAATTTTTGGTCAATATTTTGTAATTTTTTATGACCCCCGACCTGTCAAAATTTGCAAAAAATGGGTTTGCAGAAAAGTGACCAGATCCCAGCACTGCTTAGCCCAAACTTTTGAAATTTTTACCCGATTTAAAAGTGGAATACCTCTCTGAATTTGTTGTTAAAATATCTATCTAGCTGCATTATTGGTTTATTTTCGAATTTTTGGTCAATATTTTGTAATTTTTTATGACCCCCGACCTGTCAAAATTTGCAAAAAATGGGTTTGCAGAAAAGTGACCAGATCCCAGCACTGCTTAGCCCATAACTTTTGAAATTTTTACCCGATTTAAAAGTGGAATACCTCTCTGAATTTGTTATTAAAATATCTATCTAGCTGCATTATTGGTTTATTTTCGAATTTTTGGTCAATATTTTGTAATTTTTTATGACCCCCGACCTGTCAAAATTTGCAAAAAATGGGTTTGCAGAAAAGTGACCAGATCCCAGCACTGCTTAGCCCAAACTTTTGAAATTTTTACCCGATTTAAAAGTGGAATACCTCTCTGAATTTGTTATTCGAATATCTATCTAGCTGCATTATTGGTTTATTTTCGAATTTTTGGTCAATATTTTGTAGTTTTTTATGACCCCCGACCTGTCAAAATTTGCAAAAAATGGGTTTGCAGAAAAGTGACCAGATCCCAGCACTGCTTAGCCCATAACTTTTGAAATTTTTACCCGATTTAAAAGTGGAATACCTCTCTGAATTTGTTGTTAAAATATCTATCTAGCTGCATTATTGGTTTATTTTCGAATTTTTGGTCAATATTTTGTAGTTTTTTATGACCCCCGACCTGTCAAAATTTGCAAAAAATGGGTTTGCAGAAAAGTGACCAGAACCCAGCACTGCTTAGCCCATAACTTTTGAAATTTTTACCCGATTTAAAAGTGGAATGCCTCTCTGAATTTGTTATTAAAATATCTATCTAGCTACATCATTGGTTTATTTTCGAATTTTTGGTCAATGTTTCGTCATTTTTTATGACCCCCGACCTGTCAAAATTTGCAAAAAATGGGTTTGCAGAAAAGTGACCAGATCCCAGCACTGCTTAGCCCAAACTTTTGAAATTTTTACCCGATTTAAAAGTGGAATACCTCTCTGAATTTGTTATTCGAATATCTATCTAGCTGCATTATTGGTTTATTTTCGAATTTTTGGTCAATATTTTGTAGTTTTTTATGACCCCCGACCTGTCAAAATTTGCAAAAAATGGGTTTGCAGAAAAGTGACCAGATCCCAGCACTGCTTAGCCCAAACTTTTGAAATTTTTACCCGATTTAAAAGTGGAATACCTCTCTGAATTTGTTGTTAAAATATCTATCTAGCTGCATTATTGGTTTATTTTCGAATTTTTGGTCAATATTTTGTAATTTTTTATGACCCCCGACCTGTCAAAATTTGCAAAAAATGGGTTTGCAGAAAAGTGACCAGAACCCAGCACTGCTTAGCCCATAACTTTTGAAATTTTTACCCGATTTAAAAGTGGAATGCCTCTCTGAATTTGTTATTAAAATATCTATCTAGCTACATCATTGGTTTATTTTCGAATTTTTGGTCAATGTTTCGTAATTTTTTATGACCCCCGACCTGTCAAAATTTGCAAAAAATGGGTTTGCAGAAAAGTGACCAGATCCCAGCACTGCTTAGCCCATAACTTTTGAAATTTTTACCCGATTTAAAAGTGGAATACCTCTCTGAATTTGTTATTAAAATATCTATCTAGCTGCATTATTGGTTTATTTTCGAATTTTTGGTCAATATTTTGTAGTTTTTTATGACCCCCGACCTGTCAAAATTTGCAAAAAATGGGTTTGCAGAAAAGTGACCAGATCCCAGCACTGCTTAGCCCAAACTTTTGAAATTTTTACCCGATTTAAAAGTGGAATACCTCTCTGAATTTGTTATTAAAATATCTATCTAGCTGCATTATTGGTTTATTTTCGAATTTTTGGTCAATATTTTGTAATTTTTTATGACCCCCGACCTGTCAAAATTTGCAAAACATGGGTTTGCAGAAAAGTGACCAGATCCCAGCACTGCTTAGCCCAAACTTTTGAAATTTTTACCCGATTTAAAAGTGGAATACCTCTCTGAATTTGTTGTTAAAATATCTATCTAGCTGCATTATTGGTTTATTTTCGAATTTTTGGTCAATATTTTGTAGTTTTTTATGACCCCCGACTTGTTAAAATTTGCAAAAAATGGGTTTGCAGAAAAGTGACCAGAACCCAGCACTGCTTAGCCCATAACTTTTGAAATTTTTACCCGATTTAAAAGTGGAATGCCTCTCTGAATTTGTTATTAAAATATCTATCTAGCTGCATTATTGGCTTATTTTCGAATTTTTGGTCAATATTTTGTAATTTTTTATGACCCCCGACCTGTCAAAATTTGCAAAAAATGGGTTTGCAGAAAAGTGACCAGAACCCAGCACTGCTTAGCCCATAACTTTTGAAATTTTTACCCGATTTAAAAGTGGAATACCTCTCTGAATTTGTTATTCGAATATCTATCTAGCTGCATTATTGGTTTATTTTCGAATTTTTGGTCAATATTTTGTAGTTTTTTATGACCCCCGACCTGTCAAAATTTGCAAAATTTGTTAACAAAATATTCACCCACTTATGACCTGTCAAAATTTCAAAAAATGGTGTTTGGTTATGCAGCACCAAACAAAACTCTCTTAAATTTGTAAATTGCTCTGCGAAGCAATGTTTTCTTTATCTGTTATCTTCATCTATGTATGTATTCGCCGCGCTTGCCCTTCAGCCGAGTGCAGCCTAAAATCAATTATGAGTCGTCAACTGTCGTTCGTCGTGGCAATTCGTCTCAAGTTCTTGCTCACTTGCATTTCTGATCAAAGACTACTTCGAGTCTGCTTGATCTACTTCGAACCTTTTATCGTTTTGAAATCAGAGGCAACTATTTCCTGCCTGATCTATTTCGTAAAAACTCAAACTAAGTGCTGTGCGACTTAATAAACATTATATTTAAATATAAAATAAACCTAAATTTGTGCGTGTTTATTAGGTCCCAATTTGGTTTGTTGGCTAGTAAAAAAGCTTATTAGCCAAACATTTTGGTGACCCCGACGTGATGGAAAAATTTAGTTAATCATTTTGGAAAATATAAATGTATAAAATTAACCTGCGCAAAAGGGTTGGTTTTGCACATGCGTTTATATGTATTTATGTACACATAATTTCGCATCTCGCTCTCGCATCGGTTCGTACGGTATCGCTCTCTCAATCTCGCTCTCGCTCTGGCTCTCGCTTGTCAAACGTTTTTCGCAAGTTCATTGATCTGCAGCTGATGGTTGTTTTTGGTTTTAATGCTAGCAGAAGAGAAGCCAGCATTTACTTCTCGTGGTCGATTCAGGCTTGCAATTTGGCGCCAGTGCCTTCAAAACTGTCAAAGCTTCAAAACTGTGCCATAACCTCTTCGTCGCGAACTGCAATTATTTGAACTTTGTTTTATAAATAAATTTTCGGCTAAAAATGTCAACGGAAATTACTCTTGTCAACATCGACAAGGCGCAGTTTTATAAAAGGAAATCTCGGTCAATTTTCATGCATGCGCAAAGCATTGAAAGTTCATTGACCTTCGATCGAATTTCCCTGATGGCTGAAGAAGAACTTAGTTTGCGACTGGAGTTGCTGAATAAAACCGAAGTTTCGTTTAACCTGGCTCATGGGTCTCTCGAAGAGCTTGACTACGATGAAATCGATAGTCCGCTGCCGGATGAATTTGAGGAATTGATTTTATCCGCAAAATCAATTGTGCTCCAGGAGATTGGTAAGCGTAAGGTGGCCAGTTTGCCGTGCTCAACGTTGCGCCAGGAACCCGCCATGGATTCCGCTGCTAGTCAGCCTAACAAAAGGCTTCGTCTCCCGGAAATTAAATTGCCCGAATTTAGTGGTGGCTACACCGAATATGCCAACTTTTTCTCCATGTTTTCGACCATCATCGATCAAGATCCTGATCTTTCGCCCGTGGAAAAGCTCCAACATTTGAAGTCGTGCCTGAAAGGCTCCGCATTGGATTCTGTTCGCTCGCTGGATATTTGCAATGATAACTATGCTGTTGCTTTGGATTTGCTCAACAAACGCTTTAACAACAAACGTCTTATTTTTCAGGCACATATCGCAGAGATTTTGGGCATGCAGAAGGTAGAGAATGCGACAGCGGCGAGGTTACGGGAGTTTTCGGACAAAATCAACACAAATTTGCGTTCATTGCAGTCGATGGGAACTGCTGAGCAAATTTCTGGATCCATCATCATCCACAGTTTGCTTCAGAAATTGGACACCTCGACTCAGGCAAAATGGGAGGAAACGGCATTAATTGATCAAGTTCCGACATGCCAACAATTTTTGGATTTTTTGGACAAGCGCTGCTTAAAATTGGAAAATGTGGAGCATGTTGCAACAATTTACGCAAGTAAACCTCAAATCGTAAAGGGCAGAAACAGTTCTAGTAATAAAAACTCGTTTCTTGCTACCAATATGACTGCCAATGGTTGTGTTTGTTACAATAGCGCAAACCATTCAGTCTATAATTGCAATCAGTTTACTAATTTAACTCCTCAACTTCGTCTTCAGAGAGCGAAAAGACTTGGCTTATGCCTAAATTGTCTAAGAAAGGGCCATCAGATGAAAAATTGTGCGTCTAGTTCTTGTCGAGTCTGTGGATCCAAGCATCACAGCTTGTTACATTTCGAGTCACCAGGATCTCCAAATCAACCTCGTGATAATGTTGCTTGTCCTCAGGCTGCGCCATCTCCAACTTTGGATACTTCGCATAGTTCCGCAAACTCATCAGCTCCCTCGCATGCTACCTCTCTGATCGCCCAAAATCCTCAAGCTGATTATGTGCTACTAGCCACTGCGATTGTAAACATTCAAAGCCGTTCTGGCACCTGGGTGCCATGTCGTGCACTTCTTGATGGTGGTGCTCAGCTTCATATCATTACTTCCCGATTTGCTCATCAACTTCAGCTTCGTAGAGAAAAATCGTCTACTCTTGTCTCCGGACTTGGAGATTCTAAATTCGACTCCGATGGAGTATCGGTGCAATTTAGCTTGAAGTCCCAAACTTCAAATTATACATCTCTGCCTTAGTTGCTCCAACGATTACGGGAAACCAGCCTAGCCTGCCTATGAGTCCGGAGAACTGGAATATACCAGCAAACCTTCAGCTTGCCGATCCGGATTTCCACAAACCTCAAAAAATTGACTTATTAATTGGAGCAAGTCTTTTCTTTGAGCTTCTTTGTGTGGGTCAAATAAAACTCACTCCTGGTCTTCCTTTGCTGCAAAAAACCCGTCTAGGATGGGTCGTCGCAGGAGGTGGCTCAGAACACCGTGAATCATCGGCTCTTGCAGCTCAGACGTCTGTATCTTCCGTCGAAGAAGTTGAGTCGCCATTGGATGAAATACTTCGACGCTTTTGGGAAATAGAGAGTGTTCCTGATTACGCCTGCAAATTTTCCAAAGAGGAGCTCGAATGTGAGGAACATTTCAAAACCAACTTTGCTCGCCTGGCTACCGGAGCATACTCTGTTCGCCTTCCGTTAAAGCATAGCTTGGATATGCTCGGAGATTCTTATGCTCACGCTTATCGTCGTTTTTTGAATTTGGAACATAAACTTCAACGTCACCCGCAGCTCAAGTCTCAATATTCGGCTTTCATTCGTGAATATTTGGACTTGAATCACATGTCACTCGTTAGCAAAGATTCGATTGGTCTTTGCCAGTATTATCTTCCCCATCATTGCGTTTTCAAAAAGGACAGCACCACAACGAAATTGCGTGTAGTTTTTGATGGGTCTGCCCGAACGTCGTCTGGATCTTCCTTGAATGACGTCCTTATGGCTGGTCCTACCATTCAGCCCAAACTATTTCGGACCCTGCTTCAATTCCGAACGTTTCCTGTGGCCCTGACTGGTGACATTTGCAAGATGTATCGTTGCGTTCGAGTTGCCGAGCCCGATAGTTTTCTGCAGTGCCTTCTTTGGAGAGATTCACCAAGCCAGGAGATACAAGTTTACAGGCTGGATACAGTAACTTATGGAACCAAGCGTGCATCATTTCTATCTGTGCGGGCCATGCATCAGCTTGCTATTGATGAGGAGAATTCGTATCCCATTGGCTCCCAAATTCTCAAGCGGGATTTTTACGTTGATGATCTGATTACTGGTGGCAACTCCGCTCAAGATGTTTTAGAGATCATGCGTCAAACCCAGGAATTGCTTGGAAAAGGGCAGTTCAAGCTGAGAAAATGGTGCTCTAATGACCCCGTTGTTCTTAAGGAAACACCCGAGCCAGAAAGGGAAACATTCCTGAAGTTCGACGATGGAAGCGACATTACCAAAACGCTGGGGCTCGCTTGGGATCCTACTTCAGACGTTCTAATGTTTTCTTTCTCTCCCATGCAGCGCATCTTAAAACCTAGCAAGAGGTCCGTGCTGTCCACAATAGCCCGCTTCTATGACCCCCTCGGCCTCATCTGCCCTGTCATAACCAAAGCAAAAATCTTTTTGCAGCAGCTTTGGAAGGAGAAATTGGATTGGGATGAGAGCCTTCCCTCTGCGCTAAATTCGTCTTGGCTGAAGTTAACAGCTGATATTGCTTGCACCCAGCAAATGAAATTTCCTCGCTTAGCTGTTCAGCCTGCCGGCATCATAGAGCTCCATGGTTTCAGCGATGCCAGCATAAATGCGTATGGTGGCTGTATCTACGCTGTGTCTTCATCACAAGGTCGTAGAGAGGCTCAGCTACTTTGTGCTAAGTCTCGTGTGGCTCCGCTGAAGACGCTTACGATTCCCAAATTGGAACTTTGTGCCGCTCTGCTGTTGTCTCAACTCATCCGAGAAGTCCGTGATATGAACGTTTTCTCTTGCCCGTTCTTTTGCTGGTCCGACTCGTCCGTCGTACTTTCGTGGATTAAGGATGAGCCCTCCCGGTTCCAAGTCTTCACCGCAAACCGAATTGCTTCGATACAGGAGCTGACCAACGGAATGGATTGGCGATATGTACCCACGTTTTGTAACCCAGCTGACATTTTGTCGAGGGGATCACTTCCAAGCGAGCTGCTTGAGTCATCGCTATGGTCAAGAGGTCCATCGTTCCTGTGCAATGACAGAATTCACTGGCCCGCCCCGCATTCTGCCATCACTCCGTTACCAGAAATGAGAAATTCGCTCGTGGCTCATACCACGCCTTCCAATGACATGACGTTGCAATGCAAGTTCAGCAATTCCTGGCAAAAGCTGACCCATGTATTTGCATACGTCTTTAAATTTCGACATCGCATCCGGCACTCTGGAATTACAGTCGAGCATATTCAGCTTGGAACGCAGTTGCTCCTTCGCACCATCCAGATGAACAACCTTGCAGCTGACTACAAACGACTGCAAGGTAAACTTTCAATTAAATCCTCAAGTCAAATTTTTTCTCTTGCACCGTTCATAGATGAATTTGGCATAATGCGTGTTGGTGGTCGTTTAAAGAATTCTGGATTGGCCTTTGAGTCTCAGCATCCTATTATATTACCGAGGAGTCATCCAGTAACCCACGCACTTATCATGCACTTTCATCGGCGCAAACTCCATTCGGGACCTCGATCTCTGCTTGCACACATTCGTCTGCAGTATTGGCCAATTGGAGGACGCAAAACTGTCACAACTGTGGTCAATAAATGCATTATCTGCTTCAGAGCCAAACCCCGACTGTTTGAGCATGTAATGGCTGATTTGCCAAAGAGCCGGGTATCTTCAACGTGGACGTTTATGGTCACAGGGTTGGATTTCTGTGGTCCGTTCCATTACAGGACTGGGGTTCGAGGCAAGGTTCCTGTAAAAACGTATGTCTGCATCTTCATATGTTTTTCGACGAAAGCGGTGCACTTGGAACTTGTTCAGGATTTGTCGACGCAAGCATTTCTTGGAGCGTTGAAGCGCTTTATTCTAACAAGGGGCAAGCCTGCTCGAATATGGTCGGATAATGCAACCAATTTTGTTGGCGCCAAGAACGAGCTGACCGAGCTGAAACGTTTGTTCCTGTGCGACCCCCACATACGTTCCGTGCAGGAATTCTGTCTGGAGGATAACATTGAGTGGCGATTCATTCCTCCCCGTTCGCCTCACTTTGGAGGCCTCTGGGAGGCTGCAGTAAAAACGGCCAAATTCCATTTCTATCGTTCAGTTGGCCCATCGCTATTATCGTTTGACGAGCTGCGCACGCTAGTTTGCCACATTGGGGCGATAATCAACTCTAGACCTCTGCTTCCTCTTTCAGAGAACCCAGCCGACTTGGATGTGTTAACTCCCGCACACTTTCTTGGCACCGCTCCTCTGGTGTTGTTTCCAGAGCCTGATGTCACACTGTTAAATTGCAACCGATTGGATCGATGGCAGCGAATATCTTACCATCAGCAAGTTTTCTGGGCCCGTTGGCGAGAAGAATACCTAACACTTCTTCAACAGCGTGCTAAGTGGCGCACCAATCATCCAAATCTCAAGATCAACGATGTTGTCTTAGTGAAGGACGAGAACCTTCCTCCACTTAAGTGGCCACTGGCTAGAGTGGACGAGCTGATCGCCGGAGAAGACAAAGTTGTCCGTGTAGCTGCCCTAAAAACTGCAACTGGTACAATTAAACGAGCTATCCGAAGATTATGTGTGCTGCCTATCCAAGATGAAGTTGAAACCCCGTGTCTTCCAACGGGGGGAGGATGTTTGGTTATGCAGCACCAAACAAAACTCTCTTAAATTTGTAAATTGCTCTGCGAAGCAATGTTTTCTTTATCTGTTATCTTCATCTATGTATGTATTCGCCGCGCTTGCCCTTCAGCCGAGTGCAGCCTAAAATCAATTATGAGTCGTCAACTGTCGTTCGTCGTGGCAATTCGTCTCAAGTTCTTGCTCACTTGCATTTCTGATCAAAGACTACTTCGAGTCTGCTTGATCTACTTCGAACCTTTTATCGTTTTGAAATCAGAGGCAACTCGTGCCTGCCTGATCTATTTCGTAAAAACTCAAACTAAGTGCTGTGCGACTTAATAAACATTATATTTAAATATAAAATAAACCTAAATTTGTGCGTGTTTATTAGGTCTCAATTTGGTTTGTTGGCTAGTAAAAAAGCTTATTAGCCAAACAAATGGGTTTGCAGAAAAGTGACCAGAACCCAGCACTGCTTAGCCCATAACTTTTGAAATTTTTACCCGATTTAAAAGTGGAATACCTCTCTGAATTTGTTGTTAAAATATCTATCTAGCTGCATTATTGGTTTATTTTCGAATTTTTGGTCAATGTTTCGTCATTTTTTATGACCCCCGACCTGTCAAAATTTGCAAAAAATGGGTTTGCAGAAAAGTGACCAGATCCCAGCACTGCTTAGCCCACAACTTTTGAAATTTTTACCCGATTTAAAAGTGGAATACCTCTCTGAATTTGTTATTAAAATATCTATCTAGCTGCATTATTGGTTTATTTTCGAATTTTTGGTCAATGTTTTGTAATTTTTTATGACCCCCGACCTGTCAAAATTTGCAAAAAATGGGTTTGCAGAAAAGTGACCAGATCCCAGCACTGCTTAGCCCATAACTTTTGAAATTTTTACCCGATTTAAAAGTGGAATACCTCTCTGAATTTGTTGTTAAAATATCTATCTAGCTGCATTATTGGTTTATTTTCGAATTTTTGGTCAATGTTTCGTCATTTTTTATGACCCCCGACCTGTCAAAATTTGCAAAAAATGGGTTTGCAGAAAAGTGACCAGATCCCAGCACTGCTTAGCCCATAACTTTTGAAATTTTTACCCGATTTAAAAGTGGAATACCTCTCTGAATTTGTTATTAAAATATCTATCTAGCTGCATTATTGGTTTATTTTCGAATTTTTGGTCAATATTTTGTAATTTTTTATGACCCCCGACCTGTCAAAATTTGCAAAAAATGGGTTTGCAGAAAAGTGACCAGATCCCAGCACTGCTTAGCCCAAACTTTTGAAATTTTTACCCGATTTAAAAGTGGAATACCTCTCTGAATTTGTTGTTAAAATATCTATCTAGCTGCATTATTGGTTTATTTTCGAATTTTTGGTCAATATTTTGTAGTTTTTTATGACCCCCGACCTGTCAAAATTTGCAAAAAATGGGTTTGCAGAAAAGTGACCAGATCCCAGCACTGCTTAGCCCAAACTTTTGAAATTTTTACCCGATTTAAAAGTGGAATACCTCTCTGAATTTGTTATTCGAGTATCTATCTAGCTGCATTATTGGTTTATTTTCGAATTTTTGGTCAATATTTTGTAATTTTTTATGACCCCCGACCTGTCAAAATTTGCAAAAAAATGGGTTTGCAGAAAAGTGACCAGATCCCAGCACTGCTTATCCCATAACTTTTGAAATTTTTACCCGATTTAAAAGTGGAATGCCTCTCTGAATTTGTTATTAAAATATCTATCTAGCTACATCATTGGTTTATTTTCGAATTTTTGGTCAATGTTTCGTCATTTTTTATGACCCCCGACCTGTCAAAATTTGCAAAAAATGGGTTTGCAGAAAAGTGACCAGATCCCAGCACTGCTTAGCCCAAACTTTTGAAATTTTTACCCGATTTAAAAGTGGAATACCTCTCTGAATTTGTTATTAAAATATCTATCTAGCTGCATTATTTGTTTTTTTTTAGAATTTTTGGTCAATATTTTGTAGTTTTTTATGACCCCCGACCTGTCAAAATTTGCAAAAAATGGGTTTGCAGAAAAGTGACCAGATCCCAGCACTGCTTAGCCCAAACTTTTGAAATTTTTACCCGATTTAAAAGTAGAATACCTCTCTGAATTTGCTATTAAAATATCTATCTAGCTGCATTATTGGTTTATTTTCGAATTTTTGGTCAATATTTTGTAATTTTTTATGACCCCCGACCTGTCAAAATTTGCAAAAAATGGGTTTGCAGAAAAGTGACCAGATCCCAGCACTGCTTAGCCCAACACTTTAGAAATTTTTACCCGATTTAAAAGTGGAATACCTCTCTGAATTTGTTGTTAAAATATCTATCTAGCTGCATTATTGGTTTATTTTCGAATTTTTGGTCAATATTTTGTAATTTTTTATGACCCCCGACCTGTCAAAATTTGCAAAAAATGGGTTTGCAGAAAAGTGACCAGATCCCAGCACTGCTTAGCCCATAACTTTTGAAATTTTTACCCGATTTAAAAGTGGAATACCTCTCTGAATTTGTTATTAAAATATCTATCTAGCTGCATTATTGGTTTATTTTCGAATTTTTGGTCAATATTTTGTAATTTTTTATGACCCCCGACCTGTCAAAATTTGCAAAAAATGGGTTTGCAGAAAAGTGACCAGATCCCAGCACTGCTTAGCCCATAACTTTTGAAATTTTTACCCGATTTAAAAGTGGAATACCTCTCTGAATTTGTTATTAAAATATCTATCTAGCTGCATTATTGGTTTATTTTCGAATTTTTGGTCAATATTTTGTAATTTTTTATGACCCCCGACCTGTCAAAATTTGCAAAAAATGGGTTTGCAGAAAAGTGACCAGATCCCAGCACTGCTTAGCCCATAACTTTTGAAATTTTTACCCGATTTAAAAGTGGAATACCTCTCTGAATTTGTTATTAAAATATCTATCTAGCTGCATCATTGGTTTATTTTCGAATTTTTGGTCCATATTTTGTAATTTTTTATGACCCCCGACCTGTCAAAATTTGCAAAAAATGGGTTTGCAGAAAAGTGACCAGATCCCAGCACTGCTTAGCCCAAACTTTTGAAATTTTTACCCGATTTAAAAGTGGAATGCCTCTCTGAATTTGTTATTAAAATATCTATCTAGCTGCATTATTGGTTTATTTTCGAATTTTTGGTCAATATTTTGTAATTTTTTATGACCCCCGACCTGTCAAAATTTGCAAAAAATGGGTTTGCAGAAAAGTGACCAGATCCCAGCACTGCTTAGCCCAACACTTTAGAAATTTTTACCCGATTTAAAAGTGGAATACCTCTCTGAATTTGTTGTTAAAATATCTATCTAGCTGCATTATTGGTTTATTTTCGAATTTTTGGTCAATATTTTGTAGTTTTTTATGACCCCCGACCTGTCAAAATTTGCAAAAAATGGGTTTGCAGAAAAGTGACCAGATCCCAGCACTGCTTAGCCCATAACTTTTGAAATTTTTACCCGATTTAAAAGTGGAATACCTCTCTGAATTTGTTATTAAAATATCTATCTAGCTGCATTATTGGTTTATTTTCGAATTTTTGGTCAATATTTTGTAATTTTTTATGACCCCCGACCTGTCAAAATTTGCAAAAAATGGGTTTGCAGAAAAGTGACCAGATCCCAGCACTGCTTAGCCCATAACTTTTGAAATTTTTACCCGATTTAAAAGTGGAATACCTCTCTGAATTTGTTATTAAAATATCTATCTAGCTGCATTATTGGTTTATTTTCGAATTTTTGGTCAATATTTTGTAATTTTTTATGACCCCCGACCTGTCAAAATTTGCAAAAAATGGGTTTGCAGAAAAGTGACCAGATCCCAGCACTGCTTAGCCCAAACTTTTGAAATTTTTACCCGATTTAAAAGTGGAATACCTCTCTGAATTTGTTATTAAAATATCTATCTAGCTGCATTATTGGTTTATTTTCGAATTTTTGGTCAATATTTTGTAGTTTTTTATGACCCCCGACCTGTCAAAATTTGCAAAAAATGGGTTTGCAGAAAAGTGACCAGATCCCAGCACTGCTTAGCCCAAACTTTTGAAATTTTTACCCGATTTAAAAGTGGAATACCTCTCTGAATTTGTTGTTAAAATATCTATCTAGCTGCATTATTGGTTTATTTTCGAATTTTTGGTCAATATTTTGTAATTTTTTATGACCCCCGACCTGTCAAAATTTGCAAAAAATGGGTTTGCAGAAAAGTGACCAGATCCCAGCACTGCTTAGCCCAAACTTTTGAAATTTTTACCCGATTTAAAAGTGGAATACCTCTCTGAATTTGTTATTAAAATATCTATCTAGCTGCATCATTGGTTTATTTTCGAATTTTTGGTCAATATTTTGTAATTTTTTATGACCCCCGACCTGTCAAAATTTGCAAAAAATGGGTTTGCAGAAAAGTGACCAGATCCCAGCACTGCTTAGCCCATCACTTTTGAAATTTTTACCCGATTTAAAAGTGGAATACCTCTCTGAATTTGTTATTAAAATATCTATCTAGCTGCATTATTGGTTTATTTTCGAATTTTTGGTCAATATTTTGTAATTTTTTATGACCCCCGACCTGTCAAAATTTGCAAAAAATGGGTTTGCAGAAAAGTGACCAGATCCCAGCACTGCTTAGCCCATAACTTTTGAAATTTTTACCCGATTTAAAAGTGGAATACCTCTCTGAATTTGTTATTAAAATATCTATCTAGCTGCATCATTGGTTTATTTTCGAATTTTTGGTCAATATTTTGTAATTTTTTATGACCCCCGACCTGTCAAAATTTGCAAAAAATGGGTTTGCAGAAAAGTGACCAGATCCCAGCACTGCTTAGCCCATACACTTTTGAAATTTTTACCCGATTTAAAAGTGGAATACCTCTCTGAATTTGTTATTAAAATATCTATCTAGCTGCATTATTGGTTTATTTTCGAATTTTTGGTCAATATTTTGTAATTTTTTATGACCCCCGACCTGTCAAAATTTGCAAAAAATGGGTTTGCAGAAAAGTGACCAGATCCCAGCACTGC